TTGCTCTTGTTGAACTTGCCCAAGCTACAACTAGTGCTACCTCACTGATGCCGAAGTAGCGTGGTGGGTTCATGGTTACTGCCTTACTGCTGTCCTGCCCCACTATGATTCTTGGCTATTCAAGATTCCCATGTTTTTTCCACCTTTTAAAAGGATATTTTCTTTGAGGGAGCAGGCCTAAATACATATGTTCCTTTCAGAAAACCACCCCAGACCAAAATGGCCCTGTCAGTGGCTTCTTTTAATACAACCTGGACTTTTGACAGCCAGCTGTCAAACCTCCATGCTTCAGTAAAAACAAGTGAGGTCAATTTCCATCTTCCTGAGTCTCTAAGTGAGACCTGAGAATGAGTAGAAAAGTCGGGACACTGGGGCCTGTCAGAACACAGAGAACCCTGAGGATCCCATTGCCTGTGGGAATATATTACTTCATCTCTTTTTGTCAGCAAAATGATGTGTGTCTTTGCTTTGACTTTGATAGCCTACCTTTTAATAGCAGCCAAAGTGCAAAAACAAAATCAGTACAGAGTCTTTGTGAGTGAATGACCATGACTGGTACTTGCAGCATTTTAACAGCATATACCACTCTCCGGAGATTACCCAGACAAGGCTTCCCATTTTTTCAGAACTGCACATGCTTGTACATTTAGAAGTGCACTATTTTTAAAAACATATTTATTTGGTCATATTTGCAGTACAGATGGTTTTTTCCTTAATGAGGTGCCCACTTAGGCATGTCAGAATGGCTGTCAGAAAATGAGATTGTGAAAAGTGATCTGTCTGAGAAAAAAGCGGAGGGAACTGTATCAAGCCAGAATGGTTCCCAGTTGTGAAGGGAAGAGTTGCTTGAACCATAAACTTTCCAGGAGTGTCAGCTGGCAGACTGAGGGGGAAAGAGCATGGCTACAACTAGGGTTGGAACAAACCCTTTTATAATCCATCCCTCTAGCATCTGCAGAGGTCTTCTTGTGCTCAGCCCAGTGCTACAAAGTAACCCAAGCCAAGAAGAAGTCTGTGAATATTCATAGAACCCTTGTTGTACAAACTGGCAACCTTCCCTATCAAATCAGCTACAGGATGCAGAAGAGAGGCCCTGCAAATGGTCACATCAGGACCATTCTTGGGAACTGACCTGCTTCGCCACCTGGTGCTGCTGCCAGTGGAAGCACTGGGCATGGAAGAGGGCTCTGCTTGCACAGCACATGAGGCTCAATTCCTGGCAAGCATCCCAGGAACACTGGGAGTGCTTGCCAGATACTTTGGCTCCAGGCTACTGCAAAATGGACTGGAGTTCATGCTGCCGAGCCTAAGGGGTTGAATGCATTCCCATCCTAGGGGTTTCTCACACATCCCTAGTTGCAGCACAAAGTTATGTGCCCAACTATCCCTCTGATATACCATGGTGTGTTCTTGCAACAACCAGTCCACTGTGACTTATTGCCCAAGTGTGTTGGCATCATGTGCAGACCCACTCAGAGAGTCATGTATGTGTGTCATGACTGGGGCTCCATACACCGCTGGGTGTGTTGTCTCCCACTGTCAGCTTGTGGCTTCCAACACTGAGGGAATGTAGCCACTTGAGGGTGGTGTAGTGAGTTAAAAGGTTGCCCATTCCTGCCCAACATATTTACCTTGAAATGCCATATATTTGTGACTTCGGAAACATACTAATGGAGTTGTTGCATTTGGGATAGATTTCTTAGCCTTGCTTCCAAATTTTTTCTGACTATTCATGAAAGTTACTGGCTTTAAAAGGAAGAAAAAGTGAAACTGGAAATTCCAGAGATATTAGAATAGCTTGTTCTAAATATTATTTTTCTTTTTACTGTGGCAATAGTCCCACCATGTTGCATAACTGTATTTGAGGTAGTTGCCTCTTACACGTCTCATTTTGCTTTGGCTGTTTGTTGCTGAAGTCCTTAATCTGCAAGAGTTTTAGAATCTGATATTTTCTAAGTAAGCTGTGTTATGTTTAGGGAGAATGGTGCTGATACTTATTTACATCACTCCAAACCCAGGATACTCAAAATCCTGTAGCAGTAAGTCCGTAGCTCTCTGTAGCCAGTTGTGTAGCTCCTTCCATTCCCTAGGGCCCCAGAAGTAAAATATGAATCTATGAAGTGCTGGCTTACAGTCTAGAGAAATTTCTGGCTGTTTTCTCCCATGTTGACATCATTATTTCTAAAAATGTACAGCTGACACCTGGAAAATGGGGAAGCCAAGAGAAGCAGGGAAGAGTGGTAAAACTTCCTTACTCATTATTTTAAAAGGCCCTCTCCCAAACCAGTGACTGGTTTGCATGACCTCACCATGGGTGAGCAGCCATGTTGTGTCATGTGAGCAGGGCACAATTTCTTCCGGGTGGTTTATTTTTCACAAAAAACCCACCCTGATAACCCCTGACTTTTTTAGGTTCATGTTCTTCCCAGTCATGGAAATCAAGCTGAGCTGAGAGGAAGTCCATGATTGCTTGTAGAAGGAAGGTTGTACAACTAGCACCCTCAGGTGTAGCAGCACAAACAAAGGATGCTGCACATGGTGCGGAAGAGGAATGCTGCTTGCATAGTGCCTGGGGCTTAATTCCTGGCATGTGCCCAGCAGCAAAGCAGACCCAGGGGATCCATTGGATTCCCACCCCCAAAACAGATTCCTCACATCCCTATCTGGGCCTGAAATTTTTAAATTGAAGAACAACCCCAGTTGTACTTTTTTGAAGCTCCAGAACAAACCCCAGAGGTAAATAAAAAGAGTTATTGATTGGAGTGTGTGTGGGAAGGCATGAAAGGTTCTGCTGTGAAGGACTCTGGCATACTGCCTGCAGGACTGAGGAGCAAAATGTGGGAGAACAAGCCAGAGTAAACTTGATCACTTCTCAGGTGTATCAGGGGTCGATCAGAAAACATCCAGCCCACCATGGCTTATTTGTATGGTGATTTGGCATGAAGTCTAAACATACCCTGTATCTTAGTCCATCAAAGTTCAACTTCATAGCAAAAATAAATTTTCTGATTTATCAGATTTGAAGAAAATTATTTTAGGCAAAATCTTTCTACATATATCTTATATGGCAGGAGAATGTGTGTGTGTCCGGAGGGGTGGGGAGGAATATTTCCTCTTTCATAACTCCTGGCTAACTCTTGAGAACTTCTACCCTTCACAGGGTATGTTGATTTCATGTAAAACTTAGACAATTTTGTCTCATGGGAAGAAAAACAATTATAGGAAAAGTGAGAAGTAAACAAAGAGGGGGCATGGTTCAATGCTAATTTCAGTGACAGGCTTCAAAGAGTTCCCATGGAGTTTAAAAGTGATTAACTTTGCCTGCATCATTCCTCAATTGTACTATGCTCTTACAAAGAAAATGTGTACTCTTTTTTTCTCCCTTAGGTCACCCTTCAGCCTTTTTTAAGCAATCACGGCTTCCACTGTCTGTGGATAACCTGGTCTTGTGTCTTCACTTAGAAATCTCTCTGGGTTTATTTGTCCATTTATATTCCATATCATATACTTCACAAAAATATATCCATTCAAACAGACACAAACTTTATTTGACTGTTCAGATGTTCAGTCCAGTGCACCAAGGTCAAGAAATAGTCACTTGTCATGACAAGGCCATCATGCAATGTTCTGGAGAAGTACCATGTCTTTGTATTGGTCCCTTCTTCTTATGTTGTACATCACTTTGTGTTGTATAGTGGGAAATATTGAAGTGTGTATATGCTTATAGTGGGACTGCAGGTGGCGCAGTGGTTTAAACTGCTGTGCTGCTGGGCTGGTTGATTGAAAGGTTGCCAGTTCGAATTTGCACAACAGGGTGAGTTCCCGTTGCTCTGTCCCAGCTCCTGCCAACCTTGCAGTTCGAAAGCATGCAAATGCAAGTAGATAAAAAGGTACCATTTCGGTGGGCAGGTAACAGCGTTCCGTGCACTTCGGTGTTTATTCATGCCGGCCACATGACCATGGAGACTGTCTGCAGACAAACACTGGCTCCCTCGGCTAGGAAACAGAGATGAGCACCACCCCTAGAGTCAGGCATGACTGGACTTCACATCAAGGGGAAACCTTTACCTTTATATGCTTATAGCACCTACAGTCATGGTTCATTGAGAGTCTAAAAATTGAGGCAGCTGTGTTGATTCATATCAAGAAACTAGTTCTAGTCATTCTCATCTCCTCAAGGAGCAGGTCTTTTGCAAAACCAATGGGTGGCTTCATGCAACACAACAAGGTGCATCTTCATAGAAACCTATGAGTATGACTTGTTTATCCCAAGACCCATGATGTGCCCAACAGATGGTCAGGCAGCATGGGGATATTGAGCATTTTCTCCCACTCTTTCCCCTTCAGTTCTCCTGCCAGTATTTCAGAAAACATCACGGGAACCCTGAGGACAGTGAAGCAGGGACACCTGCCCCAAACGGCCCAGTTGCCACTTGGGGGCAGCTGTAAAGCTTTGTTTCATGGTGCTGATTCTGCTTTCTGTTGGGACCAGCATTGCTTTCTGGGACCAGTGATCTGTGTTCTGCTGGGTTTTCTCCTGGAAAGACCCAGGACAATGCTGCTCATCTTCCCACCTTTTGTTGCAAAGGTACCTTGCCCCTGTTCTTGCAGAGCTGCTTACAAAATTAATAAGAAGAGTCCCTGCTCTCAGGCTTATGATTTAAAAGAATGACAAAAAGGAAAATATATTTGAAGGCAGGGGGAGCAAACCTGAGGCACCAATTCTTACTTTCAAATTTTGCTTGAGTGTTTATTCTGGCAGGGAAATGCAAAAGAAATTCCCTGCAGCTGTTCCTTTTCTAGCCAGTGTATGGGCCAGGTCAGTCTCACTCTTGTGCTTTTCCTGAGAAGCAGTGGATGCGGCCCCCCGGTTGCCCTTGGTTCACTGTCCAGTGGATGTGTCCAGATCTGCAATCCCAGGAAGCAGTGATTTAAGAAGTCATTATCAGTCCATATTATTTAACTGTATCTAATGGTCTGGTGTGTGGTCTTTTTTTTAGGGTGGCAAAATCCATGAAAGTCCCTGTGTATGAAACACCAGCAGGGTGGAGGTTCTTCTCAAATCTGATGGATTCTGGTCGATGCTCACTTTGTGGAGAAGAAAGCTTTGGCACTGGTAAAACAGTCTATAGTCCATGGAGCATGCATGCATACATACATACTGTACATACATACATCAAATGTAATCCTGTTAATGGTTTATAGAAGATTGTACACTTTAACCCAGGCCTGCATTGTACCAACCCAACTAAAAACAAGTAGCCTTGTATGTTGGCCCACAAGTGCCACAGTGAACATTCTAGTTTGATTAAATGTCCTACAAAAATACATAGTTAATTGGCTGCCTTCATCTTCTGGCTGCAAGATGTTTTTACTGAATGTATTCAGTTACACAGCTGGCCAGAAACCTGCCATATATTGGAGTCCATTAAGAATGAAGCTATGATATTTTAAAATGAGGCCCAATAAATCCCCTGACCTGTCCTAACCTATCATTCTCATCCTGTAATACCAGAAATGCTTCAGAACTCTTTCTGGTCTTTCAGGCATTTATGTAAATAGATTTTGTAATCAGTATTTACATGACGCAATGAAAAGAAAGCAGTATTTTCAGTTATCTTTCCCCACCAGATATATTTTTAATGATACTAATGGATATATGTGTTGATCTATGTTTCTGGAAAAGTGTTCTTTTACTTCAGCAAGGAGCAATAAGAGCTTTGTTTGCAAAACCATTGGAATGAAGCTTCTGCAAAAGTCCCTGTGACAATATTTGGCTTCTTGTTCATCATAGTGGCAGGATGAATGTTAAAGCCTCAAATGGACGTTATGTTACTCATTATAAGCATAATGTGTTTCAGCTAGTTGTGTGTTTGTTGACCAAGTGCATCTTGCACATTCTTATAAGATTAAGATTTTGCAGTTACACTGCAATCTTACGGATGCTTATTTGGAAGAAAGTCCTGTTTGATTTTGCTTTCACCCAAAGAAGGATAGCCATCAGCCACTTTATGTCCATGCTCTAAAATTGCTGGTATAAGAAAATGAAATATTTTATCATCCCCTAGGAAGACAGTAAGTAAAAATGCATTGCAGGAAGAAGGAGGGGACTGAGTAGTAGAGCTGCTGTGTTTATTTTGCCTTCAAATCAGTGGTCCCCAAACTTTTTTGGGTCCCTGCCCCCTTTCTTCTTGAGCCACGACCCTACTACCCCATGCCTCTTTCTTTGCATTCTGGTGGGTGGGCATAATGCACAGGTAGTCCCTGGGTTCTCAGTCCCATTCCTGAGAAACCAGAAATTCATTCTTAAATAAATTGGTGTCCTGCAACAGCAGAGGATTGGACCTGATGAGCTTCATGGCCCCTTCCAACTCTACTATTCTATAAAAAAGTCAAATTCATATTTAAGTCAGATCACGTATAGTCAGCCCTCCACATTTAAAGGGTTTAGGGGCAGAGGATCCCCATGAAGGTGGAAGAACCATTATTATTTCTAGCCCAAGCTCACTGGTGCCTCCTCTTTGCAGCAAGGAAATGCTGGAGACAATGGGCAGGGCAGGAAGGCATGCTTTGGAGACCTTCTCTCCCCTTTTGCTTTCTCTCTATGGTGATAATGATTAAAAAAATAATAAACTTTATAGCAGTTTGTTCATAAGTATGGGCTGTTCATAACTTGGATATTTGCAGCTCAGGGACTGCCTATGTTTGACTTTGACAACTGTGTGGATTTGCTTGAAGACTTCATGGTATCAAAGTAATGGCTATTCAACCTTTGTGAAACTGGGCCCACCCTTCCCTCCTTCTCTCTGAGAATGCATGGCTTTCAAAGACATCTGGAAGATACCGGTGACAAATGGTGCAGAGAAAATTTGTATCTGATTCTAGGAGAAAAAGTTATCTGGGTTTTAGTTTCGCTTGACTAGATGTGGGACTTTGGAACAATTTAAAAATGGAGCGGACTAGTTAATTTTTGTAAGTGTTCTAAGAAATCCTTTGCTACTTGGAATGATGATTGTGTTACAGCCTTTCATAGAAATGCAAATAGTAGGAAGGATTCATTTTAACTAATCCACCAAAGAATATATTGAACTCAGGGTATGCAAACAGAATCCCTCTCTGAGGCTGACCCCTGGTGATTTTGCATTTTTTTGTTCTGCTCCTGAGAGGCATTTCTATATTCAGCGGACCATTCTGTACTCAAGCCAATGGACAGGAGATGAGCTCCCTTCTATGTGGGTGTTTATGTCACACAGAAGTTGTAGAGTCTACAGTGTGATCCCTCTTCCCTGTACCAATGATCACATGAAGGAAGGCAAGCATCAGCTCTGCATAAGGAATACTGATTAGCTAGTAGCTTTTCTCAATGCAGTGGAAAAACAATTGCCTTAAAGAAAATAAAGCTGGTTCCAGTACTATAGAAACATGCACACTGAACAGTAAACACATTGTAGATTGTATAAAGTGTATTTTGGATGTTGAGAAAAATAGTAATTCATAAATGCATTTTTTCACTCAGTGATTACTTTTTTAAGAGTATGAGCTTTTCCTCTTTTATATTAGTATTTTTTGTCTTTACATTTTCTGCATGCTTGGCAACTGAGCCAATACCAAGAATAATTACCTGCACTTTACAATAAGAGAGGCAGACATCAGCATTTTTATGATTTTTTTGAACTTAAATAACCATGTCAGCTTGTCATCATTTAAAGGACTATTTTCTGTAGTAATAATATCTGGGATATAATCTTTCACTAAAGAAAAATCCTGGATTCATAAGAAAAGGAGCAGAGACTTCTGGCTGGTTAGTGAAAGTATCCTTTCTACTATAAAAGGTTTTGGAAATGACTTCTTGGGCTCTGTGTTGTTCTCTGGCAACTTATCCTGGAGTTCACCCAATGCTGTTGTAGCTTTTTTCTTTTTTGTAGCAGTACAAGGTATTTGACAGGTGAAGTCAGGTTTTATTTGCAAATAAATAAAATTTGCAGAATTATGGATCTCATGGACTTTGAAAAAGAAAGTAGCAGCAGCCATCACTCATCAAATTTCATTAGCAAACTATTCATCAACATTAAAAAAAAGCTGTACACGTGCATATGTTTGATCTGGCAGCAACAGGGATAAATGTTTTTACTTGGTCATCAGTCGTAAATGAACAACTATCATCTGCTTCTGCAGTAAATTGGAGCAGGAATAATTCCTAAGTAGGGAGAGAAAAATAGAACTGTGCTTTAGAAGCCAGCAACAATCCAACAGCTCCCAAGGAAGGATTTGCCCCAGGCATGTGGAGCAGGTCATAGGCAACCAGGCTACCACAGCTGTGTGAAAAGGAACCTGCATGGATTGGAAGAGACTCAGGATGATGGTCCAGCACATACTGGTCACACTGCAGAATTTTTAAATCCAAACTAGCTACAGTCTGCTTGGATGTAGTGTGGCTACCCAGATGGATTCAGATACAACCTAAACACACAAAATACCACGCAAAATAAACATCCCCATTTTCCATACATACCATCTACTTTGGGATGGACTTAGCTTTGAATCAGTTTTTTTAATATACTCTAAATAAGGCATGGCTGTTAAATATAATAGGCAATACAAATATACCATTTCAATTTAATTCCTTATACTACAGTATTCCAAATATCACCTGTAGAGACATTTTTATACTTTTCCCGGAATACTGACAGGACTGTAATCACCTTTTATAATACAATTAAGTCACTGTACAGCAATGTATCACTTTTCCACTTTCAGGATAATTTGTTTGAATGTAATACATGTTTAAACTTTTTTTTCTAAGGATCTGACCACATTCGAGAGAAGGATGGTCTTTGGGCTGTTCTCATTTGGCTATCAATAATGGCAGCTCGAAAGCAGAGTGTGGAAGAGATAGTCAGAGAACACTGGACGAAATTTGGCCGTCACTATTATTGCAGGTGAGAATGACTGCTCTATAGAGGAACCAGTTGCAGCATAATGAAAGGATGTGGCAGTAGGGAGCAGGGAGAGGTGCCTAGTAGATGCTGTGTGCTTCAGAATTAATACTTGCAAGTATGGCTGTGTTCTTAACAAACCACAAACTTGCTGCAAATTTAGGAAATGCTGGTTTGTAGTTTGTAGAGGGGAAATAGTGACCACTGTAAAGAGAATTTATTCTCCCATAATTGTGTTAACAGCTCCGGCATGACAAAATAAGTTTTATGCCATCATAGTTGCAGTATTAGTATGCTATACTTACCAAAAGCAGCAAAACTCTTTAGTCTATGCCTAGCTACAGCCTTCCCTGCCCCAAATAGTGTTATCCTAACAGGTTTGCTAGGTCTTCCCTTGGGCATCCTTCAAAACTCTAGTAAACCAGTAGCTTACTCTTCATGTCAAATGTATTTTTCCAGGAGCCGTCCCACTTCCTTGAAACATCCAACCCACCACCTTGGTTTGGAGGTGCAATCACACCTTAAACAAAAATAGGCTGTCTTTATGCATGGGTGTTGCTGTTTGGCTACATAAGGATCCACATGTGGAGAAATATGTTTGCTATATGTATATAGGATTATATGTACTTTAAATTGGCATGACATTTGGTAGTTAAGGTGAGGAAATGAGGTGGGTTAATTGATCTTGGAGTGCTGTACACTCTGCATGAGTTACGGTTTTACTCTAATTCCTTGCCTGAACTATGGTTAGCTCTGGAGACTTGTTTTTCAGTCATCAGCAGCTTGCTGTTGGAAACAGTGTCCAGAATGTTCAAAACCCAGCATTGCTACGATTCTCCAGAAAGTAAGGGCCAGGTGTTCCACTTGTATCTTGGCATCAGAAGGGTCTGACATCCAGAACAAAGCAGGTGAATACTTCCTCGTGCAAATTTGGAGGGGCAGCAGAGCTCCTTAGAGCTCACTTAGAGCCCCTTGAGGCACTGCATGTCTAAAGTTTCCTTTTTATGGATGCAGTGGTCCCAATGGCTTCTTGTTCCCATGTGTGGCCACTGGAGTCAAGGCCACAGCACTGCTCATATCAGGGACAAAACCACTGAGCAGTGCCAGCTTCAGGTTTGGCAAGACAATCCTCAATTCACCCCTACATGTCACCACTGTCTCCCTTGTCCATTTGTGTGTCTTATTCCTCCAGTTCCCATCCACTTCACTCCCCAGAAGGAGAGGGCAAAGCAAATGAGGGCTGCTGATCCTTTCCTTTGTTCTGGTCATGGTTTACATTCTAAGGGAAAGCAGCAAGAGAAAATAGGATTGTTATCAGAGGCCTGTCTGTGGATACCCTGAGGGGCAGGCATCAAATGGTCCTGATCCCAGAGACTCCCCTGTCATTTAGATGCAAGCATTTAAATACATCGAAAACTCACACTGCCCATTCATATGCAGTTTGTATTGCTCATATTGATACTTCATGTCTTTTGTTCTTTTAATTCCTGCAATGCAAGATTTGATTATGAAGCCCTGGACCCTAGAACAGCTTATTTCATCATGAGAGATCTGGAGGCTTTGATCACTGACAAGTCTTTTAGTAACCAACAGTTTGCTGTTGGAAATAATGTCTACAGTGTGCAAAAAGCAACCATCTTTGAATATGTGGATCCCGTAGATGGCACTGTGAGCAAAAAACAGGTATGAAGAGCAAACAGATATCTCTCTGACTCCGTCTCTGACTCAGACTCTCTCTCTCTCTCTCTCTCTCAATGTCTTGCTGCTCTTATAACAAACAACCTGGCTTGTGGAAACACTTTCAAGATGACTTTTATTGAAGAGCGCAGTTTTCTAAATTTTACTAACTTAAAAATTAAGATTTTTTAATTTGTAAAAATAATTACAGCAACAAAAATCCTATCTATAGCACCTGAAACAGTAGCTAAAGCATGGATACTTTCTGCAGTTATTTATTTGCAAATAGACCCGGCTTCACACTGATTGAAATAGCCTTTAGCTAAATATATTGAAGTCTGCTGGTGCCCAGAAAGCTGCTGGTACCCAACACAGTTCTTGTTATGGAGCACTCCTGTAGCTCCCTCTGGGAGGGTTCTGAGCACTCAGTTTCTCTGAGTAGGGCTACTCCCCTCTCTTTCTCTAAGATTACCTCTTCCTGGATTCAAACTGTATTGACTGTAAAGCTGGTTTGGGACATCTGGCACATACTGATTGAAGTTGATACTTAATGTTTACATAAATTAAAATTTATTAATACATCAAAAATAACCCTAGATTGTATACCTCTAGCATTCCCTTAGCATATGTGTTAAGTTTCAGATGTCTAGATTTCACAATCTTGGCACTATGACAGTGGCAGACTTTTCAATTATGACAGGTTAGGATATTGCCCTTCATCAAAAGGTATCAATGAACACACACAATTTAAATTGTCATATAAGTATGACATGCAAGAAAACCAATCAAGTACTTTAATCATCAGGATAATCCAAGCAATTACTCAAATTACAAACCAGTGCAAAACTATAGCAATAGTTTATAGAGTCATGCTGAATCAGGAACTGTCAGAAAGTACGTGTTCTTGCAAGGCAGGTAGTTGATAGAATATTACAATATTATATTGGAAAAATACCATTTTCAGGAGTGTTGTTTCCATCACCTATACACTGTGATTGCTCTTCTCAGGGGCTGCGAATATTATTCTCTGATGCATCTAGACTCATCTTCAGATTAAGTGCATCTAGTCACGTGCGAGCCACTCTTAGGATCTATGCAGAAAGCTATGAAAAGGACCCCAACAAACATGAGAAGGAACCACAAGTAAGTGCAAATAAAAATGTGCTTTTAGTCTTGTTAGGAACAAATACTCTGTACATAGAGGTCTGAGGGAGAAGATAAGAGGCAGATCTTTCCACTGAATTGGCCATTACATTTCTGTGCAGTTTCAGTACTTGCCTGCTGTGAGGGTGGGCAGCAGACCATCATGAACAGAGACCAGGTATCTCACAGGTTGTGTGTTCACTGAATGACCAAACCTGAAACTTGAGAAAACTCCTGAATGTTAGTTTATATGGGTACCAGTATAATTGCTTTTTAAAACATAGTCATAATAAAACTGCACTGCCTGTATAGAATACAGAAGTATCAGCAGGTTTGGAGAACCTCAAGATTTCTGGATGTATGAATAAATCTTTAGCAAGGGGGAAAAGCTTTAGTAGGGGAAAATCCTCCCCAACTCCTAAAGTCCAATGGACATGGTCAACTGGAACTACTGACTGACTATTCGGGATGGGGAAGGACAGGGATTGGGAAGGGTAGGGAAAGAAGTCAATGGAATGGGGTGTTCTACAAGAGATCATGATTGCCTAGCTAGACCCTTGTGTATGAGCAGTCCACAGTGGAACATTTTGTTGTAGGTTCCAGTTGTTGTTGTTCAGTCGTGTAGTTGTGGCCAACTCTTTGCAACCCCATGGACCATAACATGCAAGGCCATCCTGTCCTCTACTGTTTCCCGGAGTTCACCCAAATTCATTTTCATTGCATCAGTGACAGGAAGGAAATGACAACCCACTCCAGCACCCTTGCCATGGAAACCTCAATGGACAGTATCAAAAGGCATATCTCAGTGCAATTTCATTCAACAAAAATTGCCCCTCATTTCTTATTGTCTAAGGAATTGAGAAGTATTAATGATGCACCCCGAGATAATGTACTATAAGAAAGACCTTTGCAAATGAATCTTCATATGTTCAGAGGCACTATGCTTTATTTTATTTTATTTTTTATTGATTTATATCACACTTTTTTCTTAGAAACTCAGAGCAGCTTATATCATTCTCCTCCTGCTGCTGTCAGTCTTATTCCCAAAGCAACAAACCTGTGAGGTGGGTTGGACTGAGAGTATGCGGCTGGCTCAAAGTCACCCAGCTGGCTCCATGGCCAGATTGCCAGTTCTGCACTCTTAACCACTACACCACACTGGCACGCTTTATGATTTTTTTTTTAGCTCTTTATGATGTCTTATGGTTCAAAGATAATTGTTAGCAAAAGGGAACAATTTCCAGGACTGTGTTCTGATTATCCATGCCCTCTTTATATCACCTTGCATTACACTGCAAGCCTCCCTTGGAAGAAAGCTATTTAAATCAATGGGCCTTATCTCCAAGTAAATATGAATCAAGCATAAATCACCAGCTCATGAGAGCAGATTCCCTCTTGCTCTTTTCCCCATCGTAATGGAAACTTAGCACACTTGTTCTGATAGGTTATAAAAGATTATAGCTTAAACACAAGACCAAGCTTTTTGTCATGGCATCTTTGATTTTGCCTGTATAATTTATGTTATGATGAGGTCCCATTTTGCTGAGTTTTCTGTAAAACCAATTCTGTATGCACAGTATATGTAGCTACCTTTTTCTTACATGACATTTTTTCAAGAAGGGAAAGAAATGTACTTTATCAAGATCTATGTACTGAAGAGAAGCCAGATACATTCTTTTTCCTCTTTGCTAGCACACAAATCTGATTTAAAATTCAACATTTTTAAAACAATGCACTGTCAAGCCAATTTGTCTGTAGAATTACTTCGCTAATGCATCCCAGTGACTTGCCACAATAATATTACAGTTGGGAAACACAAATGCCAAAGTCCAAGCAAGTTTTGGATTCCTTGTAAGGAAGAAATGTGAAGCTGCTTGAGAGTTCTCTTGTATTTATAAACAAAATCTGTTCTGTACTAAAGAGGAGTTAAAGGCCGAGGGAGCATTTCAGCAGAGTACAGCCAACATCTGCAAGTTCATGCTTGCTTTACAGTTTAGCCTCATTGGTGGGAAGCTTTTCAAGAAAACCCTTCCCATGGGATGAGTGCAGGGCTGCATCTGAATTTTTTAGGGTGATGAAAGCTATGCTTGAAATTAAAACTGGGCTGAGTTGCAGAATGGCTGCCATGACTACATGATTATTTTTGCTCTTACATGTAGAACAGTTATGTGGAATATTGTCAAAATTATTAGACAACGAGGGAGCCTAATTCTGGGTTTAAGTATTGGGCCCTATTGTGGAGTGGCATTATGTGGAAATGATGTAAGAATTCTTCCAGAAGATAGGATTGTCATCTGCTGAACTGCCACTTGGAGCAGCAGTAAGGCTTTTTGGTTTTGCTTTGCCTTAAGTTAAAGACAGAAGAAAGAAGAACATTTGGCATCTAAAATTTAAAGGTATGATGCCCTGTCCAGCCTACCAAATACACAAACACCCCCCCCCACACACACACACACACATACCCAATATTCCAGGTTTCATGAGGCTGGTCTTACAGATATGGGGGACATAATTGGTCTAGCCGTAAATGTCAGTTTAAATCAAATACTGATGATAGAAAGGAGTTGGGAAAATCAAATAACAGTTTTCCATTACATTCTATTTAAGTGATGGAACTCAGTGTTTTCACATAGTTTCTTGCATACAAAATTATTTCCATTTTTAGAGGACATCAAAGTTTACTTGATGAATGCAATACTTATGAATTTGCTTCTAGGGCGCTTCATTTCATAATTCAGTAAGTTCAGAACTTTGGGCCTGTAAAAATTTAAAATAAATGGAACAGATCCAGCACACACCATTTCTCTGAGGTGGAAGGAGGTCCTTTTTCCTAAGTCTCTACAGGATTGTTTACGTGGCAAGCTGTATGGTTGTGATAATTGTTACCAGTTTCTAATCTGGAGAAAGTAACTGTTGCTGTACCAGTTTCTAGAAGATATTATTCATAAGCAGGACTTCCATGCTGCAGTGGTCCCATCTCTCACATTTGCCCCTCACTCCATGTACTAGCAAAGAGGAGGTCAGGATAATGGATCTTGTTAACAGCAGGATATAAGTCATCAGTCTCAAGGAATGTTTGTTTGCCCTAGAACTACCAGAGCAAGGATGGGAAATGTGTGCTGCTCCCCCACTCACTGGACCACATCTCCATCATTTCTCATCATTGGCCATGCTGACTAGGGCTGATGAGGTCGCAGCCCAACAACATCTGGAAGGCCTCACATTCCCCACCCCACATTCTTCACGCCAAGAGACGGCAACCTTTTGATTATAATATTATGTGTGCAGCCAGAACAGATATGGAATTTATTCATATATATCCCACTTTTTTCTTTTCAAGGAACTTGACGGGGCTTACATAATTCCCCTCCTTCTCTCAGTCTTATTTTCTTACCCAGTTCTGCTCTGCAGAAGGAATTTTTCCCTCCAGTTACACATTGTCCATGTGGGTTCATTTAATGTAGAAGGATCTTGTATCTGGGTAACATCAGAAGTCATGTTAGTGCCTTACCCCCTTCTCCAGCAGCTTATTCTATAATGGTGCCTTGTCACCACTTGTATTCAAACATGTCAGTGTTAAGTGGACTTGTTTTCTGCATAGGCAGAGCCTAACTCAAACAGAATTGCGTCATGCGAAAAGACAGGACTAACCAGCTCTTTCCCTTCCGGATGCTTCTGAGAGGACCTGTTGCCTTTCTAATAGCCTTGCAGTCTTTAAAATACAAACAGAAATCTGGACATATTTCCTGTCTAACAAACCTGGCAATCCAGATGGTGGTTTTTGGAAGTTTGCTTTCTGAAGCTTTGAAAGGTGAACTGGAAAACAATAGAGACTATTCTGCCAATGTGAAACACTGACTTGTTTAAGACACTTTGTCCCATGTAATTAGGACTAGGGGAAGCACCCTTGTACAGAGGCTGGTTCCAAACAAAATGTTTTTATATGTGAATTGATCAGAGCAAGATAAATTTAGGATAGGAGGTGGAAAGAGGGACAATAAGATGGGTTTGATTTTACTGTTCCCTGTTAGCCAGGCTTGTGAATTGACCTTGTTCCTATGCCCTTAGTAGCAGCCAGATATACAGAAATTAAGGCAGTGACAATTTCCTCAACAATTTATTGCCTAATTTCTACATCAGACTAGTGTTAAAACCACATCAGAGCCAGTTATTTAAAAAAGTCACCCTGGCTTAAATATAGTGTTACATTATCAGACCTCTCCTTATTTTCTTATCCTCTGCACCTCCCCAGATGCCTTCCAAATCTACTTCAGGAGGTCCTCTAACCCTTCAGAACAGATTTGGGAGATGTGCAGGGTCAGCAAGGGGGAAGGGAAATCGATGTATGGAGTAGGCTCCACATCATTGGCAGTCAGGTTGGATACAGTTCCTAGTCTATAACATACAACCCATTTCTCATGAGCTACACTTAAACTTCTTTATCTTGTGCTTTAAAGTGTAAATGGTTGATCAGTTGAGGCTTTCAAATGCCAGAACTGTTTGTATGCCCAAGTGTCCAGTGTGTTAGATATAGCACTGTCCCTTTCAAATTTTTACAGAGACCATTAGAAGAATTCATATATTGTATGTATGTGTACATCTAGAATGGCAGCCTTAACTTTCAAGGGTTAAATCCAGACATCTGCTAGTGCACTGAGACATTTTTTCTTTGTTCCTGCCCACAGTCCTGTATTTCAAGCCCTCTAGGGTAGATTATGAGAAAGTGCTATAGTGGTGGGAGTGTGGGAGTATAGGGAGAATTTCATCCTCCTCAAATTTCATTGATGGAAAAATTTCCATCAGCAAAATAACACACTTTATTTCCGCCCAAAGTTAATAATATTTTATGACTCAACTTCAATATTAATACACTTTTTCTAAGACACAGCAGTATGCAACACAATCTCAATGTCATTTCGAAACTTCTCAGTATCATATAGTAATTGGATATCTAAATATTCTAGCTTCATCTCGTTTCATTCAAAGGCATATCTGTCTTG